GAGAGAGAGAGAGAGAGAGAGTACTTGAATAATTGAAGTGCGCATATCATGTCTACCATATAATAAATTGTCACGTCAAATGTGCAGGGTGAACAGGATAGTGACAAAGGGCCTACTTGTTCGTATGGGATGCGATGTTATGGTTGTTAGTTCCGGTCAGGAGTGCTTAGAGCTCATGTCTTCAGGTGGGCAAAAATTCAAGGTCTTGCTCCTGGATTTGAGCATGCCAGGAATGGATGGCTATGATGTGGCCAGGCACATTCAAGATAGGTTTCCCACCAGGCATGATCGGCCACTAATTGTGGCCCTTACAGGCAACACAGATAGGGCAACAAGAGATCGGTGCTATAGGGTTGGTATGGATGGGGTTATACCAAAACCAGTTTCACTTGATAGGATGCGGAGTGCTTTATCTGAGCTCTTAGAGTTCGGCAATTTAAGGGGGAGCCAATAGCAGTGGCATCCAAAGAAGAGAACAGAACTGATATGCGTAATGCATTTGCATTAGGACCTGCATATCTCAGCATGAGCACTCTCTGATGAACAAAAAGTTTTACTGGCTCAAGTGACAAGCATTCAGATGGGCTCTATCATACTATTTTCCCGTTGCTCGAGCTGAGAATAAGTCACGTTGCTTCTTATTGGAGGGCTCATACTATGAGGCTATTACCCCTTGCTCAAGTTGAAGTATAACCGTTACGACATTATATATGGTGTATTTATTTGGAGAAGTAGGATCGAAACGAGGTTATCGGCTCTTGAAGATAATCAGTAAGTTATCCTTCTAGCTAGATGTAAGTTTTGTAGCTTTATTGTATGAGTTTCTGGGTTTGATATGGTGTGTGTAAATCATAGGTACCTTTAACTATATGCAAGTTAACAACCACTTGGGGTGGGCTCTTTGTTGGTGTGATTTTGGTCCTCAGAATGCTAAGGGTAGAGTGTTAACTTGAAGTGAAATAGAGAGAACAAAGATGAGTTCTATATACTTGTGTCGCGAGATATTTCTTCCCCTTGTCGATAATGTAACTTCTTCTAAGTTGCTTATTGCCTCATTTATTCTCTAGCATTCCTTCATTACCATTAAAGTTATAAATCGGGCTCAGCAACATTACATTTCAAGTTTGATTCCCATCACTGAACTACTTAGAAAAAAAGGAACATTGGTTCATGCGGGCTGGACCGCATTTCTACATATGCGGTCCAGAAAGTATAAAGCATCCATCTTAAAGATGGACGTAAGTAGGTGTTCTATTTAAAAACAATGGAAACTAACGGTCTAAATGTTTTCTTACTAGAATTATTATTTATAGTTTTTTTTTTTTATTCATGATCTTTATGTTAGAGATTACGTGTCCTTAAAAACTAAGTCTTAAAATCCATCTCAAAAATAGATTTATTACGAGGCCCACATTTCTACAAATACAAAAAAGAATGGTCAGTAATAAAGTTCACGATCGATACACATTTAAGGCGCCGCCTGCTCCATCTGTTTAAGGAAGGGCACCCTCTTCATCATCTTTGCTCCATTTTTCATGCATGATACTCAAACTCTACAGAAAATAAACATGTTCTTCACTTGTTTCCAAATAACCTGGTTCTTTAATAGAGTTGTTGGACCATCCAAATGGGGCCTTAAAGTCTGTGAAAGAGCAAAATTAGTACGGAGTAACGGTCGGCTCTATTTGAGAACCAAACTTGGGACAACATTGAAACCCTAATGCCAATTTTAGACCCTAAATATGTTCAACAATATTTTCTGTTAAGCTATGGCAAATGCCTGTATTTTCCTTGGAATTGTTGTTCCAACTAAAATATTTAAGAAATTATCATAAACAAAAGTGAACAAAAGGTAAAAATAACTGTTGATGATATCCCTCATGCTTGAGACCCTCAAATTGCTTGTATGGGCCCCACCTGCATTGCGTATTCATGGGCCCCACTGGCACTGTCAGCATGGGACCCAGAAGCGTGTGATTGGCGGGTCCAATTCACATAGCTACTATTAACTCTGATGTTGAGTATTCAAGCAGGATTAACTCCTTCATGACTATTTTTTCTTGATATATTAAGGAAAATTGTTTTATGGGGTTGGACCGCATTTCTACATATGCAGTCCTGAAAGTGTAAAGCATCCATTTTAAAGATGGATGCAAGTAGGTGTTCCATCTAAAAACAATGGAAACTAATGATCCAAATATTTTTTTACTAGAATTATTATTTTTAGTTTTTAAAATTTATTTATTTTCTCATATTCATAATCTCTATATTAGAGATTACATGCCCTTAAAAATTAAGTCTTAAAATCTATCTCAAAAATAAATTTCTTGAAGGGGTCACAATGCAATCAGGTCCATATATTAATGATGGGAGGGATATTATGTTGAGGCATCCGGCCCCTAACTACGGATGCCCCATCCCCATTCCCGAAATAACTCCTTAATTCTCCATCAATTATTCATTATCATCCATTGAAGGAGCTCTGTAAGTTGCAAGTCTGAGCATAATCTTGTTGTAGCATGAAGCTTGCGACCTCCTTCAATCTTGCGATCGGTAGCAAGATCGAGTTGCAACACAAAAACAGAGGGGATCATAAAATAATAATATAGTGGATGAGTTAAACCGAGGGAAAATGGTTTGATAGGGCTGCAGCCTTATCAAAATAAGGAAAGCCACACCTCATAATTCATTAAAATTATAATGGAAGCATTGGAAGACTTTTACATCAATTATCTAGGATTTTGAGCTTTAAAAATCATGTATATTATAACAAATTATCTAGACAGTCTATTTCATTTTAAAATTAAGTGTCAATAGATCTGCAATATTTGTGCTATTTTTTTAGTTACAAATTTTATTATCGGTGTTGGAAATTGATTTAGATTTCTATTGTCAAAAGTCCTTTCCAAACAAGGATTTGAGGTGAGACGTTATTTTGTTTTATAAAACTTAGGCTCTTTACAAATGGCACCCTTCTTTTATTTGTTACTCTATTTATCGTGGGGTAGTATCCCACCATATCAAACACTTTGTGGGTCCATTGAAATGTATTGTCCTAGAATACATGAGATGACGTTCCAGATGGAGCATTTTTGGGCTACACATTTATCTTTGCTAATCTATGGTACAAGTGCGAAAACAAACAGAAAAGGGAGAAAACAAATGGATTGTACGTTTGGTTGGCGTGAAATTTGGTTGGCGTGAAATTGTTTGATGGAAAACAATTTTATATAAATTTTTTTTCTTGTGCAGTAAAATGTGGGAATAATATTTTTACCAATTGGTCTTAGTGCATCTTTTCACACCAATTGGCAATTAATTGATGTAAAAATATTCCCACATTTACCACACAAGAGAATTTTTTCATATGAAATTATTTTCCAAAAAACAATTTCACGCGAACCAAACGTGCTACAGATTTATAGGCCCTCAAAACCCAAACAAATGAAAAAAATGAAGGGGTTCCACACTTCTTATGCCAAATCCCTCGCCATGCCAAATAATTTTCCATTTTTGCAACTATAGTACAGTAAATACATGGGGAAGCCCAAAATTTTTCTTGAATTTGGATCGACATTCAAAATGGGGATGTTGTTTTTTTTTTGGTCCCTGTTTTTTAAAATTGTTAATGGATTTTTAATGCGTTAGGTATGAATAGAAGCGTAGACCTTAGCAGGGGTACAAATGATGCTATCACCCAACTCCAACCCTTTTCTTAAAAACAAAAAAAAAAAACTGAGGATGCAAACGAAAAGGAGAAGTTCAATATGAAGAACAGAATAAAAAGAAGAATTACTCCACATTTATGGAGTAAGAAATTATTTTTGAGGAGTCTCTGTCAATCTATTAGACTCGCCCTAATAGTTGAGGATTTGCAATTATCCAAAAATCCATGAAAATTATAAGAAGCCATTAACACACTAACAAATTTCATTCAATGAATCAATTTCGAATTCCCATTCCTCTCAGGGATTAAATTCAATCAGTTTGGGACTACAGGCCTAATCCCTATGAATTAGTTAGCTTTAATGAAGGAGCACGAATACTATGCACCATTGAGAGTAGGTCCGAGAATTTACCTGGTTTGGATTTGAAACCCGAATTTTAGATCCTATCTAGATTTGGGTATGGATCGAAGATTCGGACCTGACGGATTGAATCTGATCCAAAATTTGGATCTAAATACTAATTCGAATCAGATTCAGGTACTGGTGGAGCCGATTCAGATCCGACCCAATTATTAAAATGTTATATATTATTTTATATATAAAATAATTTTTTGAATCATATCAAGTTTGAATTTGAATTTGGATCTTGATGGATCCAGATCCGATCTAAACCCATTTTCAACCCTATTCGGGTGCATAGTTTACTTCTACTCCCTCCATCCAAAGACGTACTAGGAAGCATTTTTCTATCTGAAATTTGGGAACTACTTAAGAATTACCAGATGATTATTCTCAAAAGGAGAATTTGAAATTTAAGTTTTCTAACACTAGATCTCACCATCTAAAATTTGGATAGCCTCTACTCAATCTAAAAGCCATTATTTTTTTAAGTGCATAGAGCATACAATTAGGAAAAAATTTATCGAGGTTAATCTATGGGACAAAAAAGTCATATCCCCAAAATTTGGGGGCCTAAAATTAATTCTAGATGGGCATTTACTTGAGGGAGTAAATAAACATTCTACTCCCGTAGGAGTAGAATGTTTTTTGGCTTAGTCACGTTCCTCTTATTGTTGAACATAGGGGTGGCAACGGGTCTTATTGGTTGAACATAGGTCTAGCTGGACCTGGACCCAGACCCAGGGCCGAATAGCATAAGGGTTTAGGTTTTGGACCTGGACGCAACTTGTCAGGTCCAAAAGTTGGACCCATACCCATACCCGTCAAGTCCCGAGTCTATCTCGTCCTGTCCATTGCCACCCTCACTATGAGCTTCGTCTTTTAATTTCAATTTTATTTTAGTTTATTTTATTTTTATTTTTTTGCCTTTTTTTTTTACTATCATATATCCATATTATTGACAACAAAGTCACAATCACCCGTCATTAGATTTGAAGCCACTTGATTTTACACCCAAACAAATAGGGCTTGAAGCATTTTATCTCCAACAGTTTACAGGTACAGTCGGGACTAGATTTTGGACATGAACTCGACCCACCGGATCCAAATGTTGGACCCATAACCGGACCTATATCGGGTATACCCGGCAGGTCTCATGTCAAGTCCGGGTCCATTGCCACCCCTACTTGAACAGTAGTTTTACTTTCTCCATCTCTATCCCCCAAACCTTTTTTGTTCTTCCAGTTCTCTATACAACTCCTACCTTTTGCTATCTTTCTCCTATTCGACTTTAACCTAAGAGTCCTTTACCCACTATTAAAACAGAGTTTCGAACTCATGGCTTCCAGTAATGGAACAGCTGCCTAGAAAAGTTGAAGACGCTTTTTACTTTCTTTGCCACAAGAAACCCTCTAACCCAAAAAGAACTACTAAAAAATTAATTTTCCTTCCAAAACTTAAGGCTTGGGCGGTCAGATGCTTTAACCCCATTACTCAGAACTTCAAAGATCTTTGCCTTTTTTTTATAATCAAAAGCCCAGTTTGTCTGGGACCTTTTAGATCTTTGATTCATTGATTTGGAATGTTGGAGGTTGCAGTTAAAATAATATTCTGTTTCTATTCCCTGCTCTTTAATGGGTTTGTTTTCTAATATTTAGTGTTCGAACCAATCTGAACTTATATTTGTCGCCATAAAATTGGATTTCATGGCTAACTTTCTTAGGTTTTTGGGGATTCAATGGAGTTTCTGGTTTTTACATGGATGTGGCCAAAGTTGTACTCTAAACTATCAAAGTAAGTCTACATAGAATTTGTTCCAGAAATGCATGTAGACAGAGAATTGTACATAGCAACGGATTGCTGGCTATGGATCATTGGTTCAAAAATATTTGGAAATATCGGAGTTCTTTTCATATAGAAATGTGTGATTGTCTGGGTTTTTCTATCATCCGGTATGTTAGTATTGCAAACACTGAGGCAAG